TAAATTCATTTGTTTGCAAGTTATAAGTATTTTTATATTTATATATAAAAAGTAGATATTTCTTGCTGTCCAGTACTATATATTTTAAATTTTATAATTATTAACAACTTTTTTTGCTAATCTATAATTTATAACAAATTTCTAATTGACTAAAAACTTAAACAATACTTTTTAAAAAAACTAATATAAGAAATAAGATGTTTTATATTAAAGAAAAAGAAAGAGTACTCAAAACAACCTTTAGTTTATTAGAATAACTTTCTACAAAAACTTTTAAACTAGTGACAAAATAAAAGCTTTTGAAAATTTTGAAAAATTTGTTAAACCCTAAAAATCTGATTATAGAAACACATAAACAATAATGACAACAAATATATAAGATCAGATAAATAAACAAATAAACAGTAGATTATATTACTACTTTTAAATATAATAAAAACAATAGAACAACAAACAATACATGTGACAATATAAAAACAAGATATGATGACTAACAACATATAGAATTAGATTGTTCTGAAAAACTTAGCAAAGTAAATATAGAATCTATAGCAACAAACTTAGAGTTTATTATATTTTATTTAAGAACACTTAAGAATATAGTATCTATTTAAAGATAATGAAGATAAATTTTCTAGATTTTATTTGGGATAGAAGAGTAATAGTAACCAAGTATATGTATAATAAGGTATTTAAAAAAGTAGCTAAAAAAGTCATACTTAGTAAACCAAACAATATCGAACAAATAGCCAAACCCTAATAATAGAAGATAAAAGCAAGATTATATTAATAGAAGTATTAGTATACAGATATATACATAAAGCTTTACTAAAAGTTAAATTTGAAGATTGTCTAAAAAAAATAAAAAAATAGACAAAAAAACAAGATAGGTTAACCAAAACCTCAAGTTGATTAAATATATATAGAAATAAGCAAAGAAGAAATTAAGAAAGAAGTGAACAAAATAGAAAGTATAGTAAAACTAGAAGAAGAAGAAGAAGCTAAAGTATTAAAATCTAGAAAATGCAAACAAAGTAAAAACTCTGAAAAGAAGTTAACAAGAAAAGAGATAAATATAGAAGACTTCTTATATCAAGTATATCAGAAAAAAATTTAAATAGGGTAGATATTGATTACTAGCTACAGAAGTAGTTGTTATTGATTAAAAAAATCAATAATAATTGTCACGGATCATGGTGAAATCGGATCATCATAAAATTTGAATCTATTTTATCTATGGTTTTTAAAATTTTTTGGGGCTTTTTTGTCAGCATTTTTTTTATAGTTAAGTTAGGATTTAGGGTTAGAGTTATTAGTAAAAGAGTATAGGTAGATTTTGGTAGGGCTTATATTTCCAAATTGAGACCCCAAATTTCATGATGATCCGATTTCACCATAATCTGTAGCAATAATTGATGTTTGATTGTTAATTGATATACAGTATAAAGATTGTAATTGATTTAATAATAATTGATTATAATTGATTAGATATTTGTAATCAATTAAAATATAATTGATTATAATTGATTGAATAGTTATAATCAATTAGAAAGTAATCAATATTAATCAATTTTTATAATAAATCAATTATTAGTAATAACTTTTACAGGTAACTAATTTATAGTTTTTTAAAAAACTTTCTAAAAATCATATATAAGATTTTTTTGATAGTAGACCTATCTACTATGTATTAATTAAACCTACAATCAATCTTTTATTGCAAGCAATAATTTTGTTATTTATTGTTACGGATTATCATGAAATCGGATTATCGTGAAATTTAGGAGTCTCGATTTGAAAATATAAGCCCTACTAAAATCCACCTATACTCTTTTATTAATAATTTTAACCCTAAATCCTAACTTAACTATAAAAAAAAGTCTACAAAAAAGGCCCTAAAAATTTTTAAAAATCGTACATAAAATAGATCTAAATTTCATGATAATCCGATTTCACGATAATCCATGACATTTATTGTATTAGTAACAACTTGCCATATTTTTTTATTTTTATAGCACATATTTAGCTAAATTAAAACACTAATATAAATCAATAATTTTTTTTTCTGTTTCATATATATCTAACTTTTTTTAATTAAGTTAAAAGTATCATTACTTTCATGGTGAGTTATTTTTTTGGTATTTTTGTTTATATAGTATTGTTGTTTTTATAGTGCTATCGCTCTTTCTGATATTATTGCTTTTTCTAATATCATCACTTTTTCTGGTATTATCACTTTTCCTGATATTGTCTTTTTTTCTAGTATTGTCTCTTTTTCTGATACTGTCACTTTTTCTAGTATCATCACTTTTCCTAATATCATTGCTTTTCTTGGTGCTATCACTTTTTCTGGTAACTTCACGATTTTGTAAGTGGGCTTGTTGTTTGATAGATTTTTTGTTGGTTTTTATTAGCTTGTGCATATAACTAACTAATATTGTATTACACTTTTTTAAATAAGTGTTTCTTGTTTGATGTCTTGTGAATAGTATTGCTTCATCATTGTAGTGATTTATTGTTATTAAAAGAGCAATTTTGTTTTGAGGAGCTGTGATTATATTGTAGTGATATTATAAATATCCTTGTAATAGTTTCTTTAGGAAGTATAATTCTTTTTTTTTATAGTTTTGTTATTTTTATTCATGAACATAACTAATACACTTTTTGATATAACAACAAATATGATCTTAATACTTGCATTCCTTCCTGGTTCTTAAATATAGCTATTAAATAAGACTTGAAGGCTTCATATTAGCAAAAGTCAAAGCTAGTATCTCTATTTTTGCTAGAAAAGAACTGACAAAACTAGTGAAGTATAATAAAACTAGTAAAATATAAAAAATTGATAAAACTAATAAAATATAACAAAACTGACAAAATATAATTAACTGAAGAAATGTAAAGACTAACGAAATGTAATGAAATGATAAAACTGATAAAATTAGCTTTTAAATTTTATTAAATGAAGTCAAGAGTTATTAGATTTTTATTTTTTGAAATTCTTAATAAATAAAATCATTTATTTTTTAAATTTTACTTTTAGATTTTATTTTTTTAAAATTCTTATTGCTTTCTTTAAAATTCTTACTATATCAGTCAACCGATTTGTCACATCTAAATTTTTTATATATAAAATTATAGCAAAAATATATAGAATTACTTATAAACTTTGAAGCTGT